TCATCTTGGGCGCCCCTTGGGCCGTCTCGGGACCCTCTTCGACGGTCCTGGGGCCCTCTTGGGGGCTTCTGTGGCGGTTCTCGGGCGGACGTTTCGCCGCCGCGCCCGCGCGCCGCCGCGGGCGCCGCGGGCGCGCGTCGCGGGCGGTCGTCGCGTGCCGCCGCGGCAGCGCGGAGAGGCTGGTGGGCCCCCCCCCTTGGTCTGTCTGCCGGCCACGCGCAGAGCTTGGCCTCGCTCGGGCGTGTGCGGTGTTGCACGGCAGGGGACATGGGGGTATGATGTTCCGACCTGCTCTGGCCTTCAGTCGTGCGTGTCCCTCTACCGGAGGAATGTTCAAAAATAGTCTAGAAATCGTCGGGAGACGTTTTTGTTGACCATTTTTGGGCATGTTTGTGCATGTTCGGACTAATTTTTATTCGTCCAACATCTGCCTGTACGGGGACACGCCCAACTTAACTCTAGCCTTGATCACCAGAAAGAATTTCGAGCACCACTGAAATTACCGGAACGCGAAGGTTTTCACGTGTCGGCTTGGGAGACATTCGTCCGACACTGTTTCGACACTTTTTCCGGGTGCTCGAAATTATTTCTGGGATGCGGTTTTTGAGCACGATGGGAGCAACCTGAAACCATCGAGGAGCATCTTGGATCACCTTGCGAGCAAAGTGCACGCACGAGATCGAAACATGGCACGGAAAGCGGGCGTCCGAGCGGTGGCGAGTCTGCTTGTCAGCCCACGCGCAGAGGGTGGTCGCCATGGGGGGAGCGGGCCTTGAGGGCTGCACGGGTCTTCAGGTTCTTCGCCGTCTTCAGGCTTCCCTCTGTTCTCCACGGGCCCCGGGACTGTCAGAGAATAGCTCGGGATGGAGAGCTCGTCCTGGAGGAAGGCCAAAGGGTCCAGGGCCCGTTTCCCTCAGGGCCCGCTTGCCCCATGCTGCAGGGGAGTAGGGCAAGGGGAGAAGCCTTCTTAGAAGCACACCTGCTTCTTGGAAGGCGCGGACCTTATCTGTGGACAAGGCCCGCGCCTTCTCACAAGCAGCCCCTTCTCTAAGAAGCCTCCCCACCTCCCCTCACACCCCTGTGCGCGCCGCCACGTCTGGGATGCCGTGGGGTGTCGGCGTGGGCGTCCGCGCCGCGCCCGTGCTTCCGGGCGCTTTGGGGCACGCCGCTCGCCGCGGCAGCACCGAGGCCCCGCAGGGCCCCTCCTCTCCAGGCTGCCGCGGGGCGCGTAGAGGCAACGCTCTGCCTCCCGCGAGCCAGCGAGAAGGGCGAGCGCTAGCGCGGCGGGCCGGAGCGACGTACTGCATCGCTGCCCACCCCCTCTCCCCTCCGCCTCCCCCGTCGCCGCCTCCCTTCCCGTCCTCCCTCCCTCCCTCCCTCTCTCTCTCCCCCCCCGCCATCCACACCCAACCCCCTGCCCCTCCCCGTCCTCCCTCCCCTCCCTCTCCCCCGCCACCACCTCGCCCCGCCCTCCCCGCCCATCGCCATCCACGCTCGCCGATTCGCCCCCTCGACAGGACAGGACGGCACAGACTTCTGCCCTCGAGTCGTCCCCTGCCCCTCCGCTCCCTCGCGGCGCAGCCTCCGCGGCTGCGGCCTGCCGCCGGCGCGCGCGCGCCGCGCGCAGGGGTGATCTGGGCCTCGAGCTGCACGAGAAGGAAGCGGCCCGAGGAGGCGGAGGAGGGGGAGGAGGAGGCGGAGGAGGGGGAGGCGGAGGAAGAGGGGGAGGAGGAGGAGGAGGAGCAGGGGGAGGAGGAGGAGGAGGAGGAGGAGGAGGAAGGAGGAGGAGGAGGAGTAGGAGGAGGAGGAGGAGAGGGGAGGAGCGGCATCGGTACCGAACTTCACGCCATCAGCTCGCAGCTCACAGGTGGAGGAGACAGATGCAGGAGGAGGCAGGATCCGGGCCTCGAGCTGCCTGAAAGGCAGCGGCCCGAGGAGTCGGACGCTGAGGAGGAGGAGGAGGAGGAGGAGGAGGAGGAGGAGGAGGAGTCCGAGGCTCCACGGCATCCCAGACCATCTACACACTGAGGACACTTCGTGCAGAAGAAGCGAGGAGCAGTGATCACATCGGCGCCACAGGGCCAACGCGCGCACTTAAAGATCGTGATAGTATAGGGAAATTTCCGTTTGGGTCGCAAACAAACGCTATGGTGTTGTTGCAATATGTTGTTGGACGTGCGCCACCAAGGGGGGCGCACAGGACCAGTACGTATGACTTCTCATGATTTCTCTGCGCCACATAGGGTGGCACCTGGGTCCACGCAGGACCGATGATCCTCAGGAAGTGCATTTGCCCACTGTATGTGTGTGTGCGTGTGCGTGTGCGTGTGCGTGCGAGTGTGCGTGTGCGTGTGAGTGTGTGTGTGTGGTGTATGTGTGTATGTATGTGTGGTGTCTGTGTGTGTGGTGTCTGTGTGTGTGTGTCAGTTCCCTTTTCACACGACCATTGCTGAACTCTCCAGTGCGCGACGCTTCGTACATTGTGCCTTCGACGACGCTCGATCGCAATTCGCACTTTCATTTGCTGTTCGCGCTTGAGGACCCTCTGCGCCGCCGACGACTTAAAGAGTGTGTGTGTGTGTGTGCGTGCGTGTGTTTAACCCGTTGAGCTCCACCGACGGCACGCAGCCTGAATCGGCCCTCTCTATACCCCCAACCGGCTGGCATCCTTCACGGGGCCTCTGCTTCCTCGGCCCAAGGGCACCCCCATGTGGCCGCAGGCATCCTTGCAGGGCTCGAGCCAAACGGTGTTCTGGCGATTTCAGGGGCCGTTTTCGTTTTACGTTTGCTTCGCAGCGCAGGCAGAATTAAGACAGAGCGGATGACATCGAAAACGCAACGCGAATGAGAAGCACTGCTCAGCTCCAGCCCTGCATCACTGGCTTTCCCGCCTCATTTTCTTCGGGCACGCGGTGGACAGGCGCGCGCCCAGCGCCGTCGCGCGCTGCCACGACCCCCCCCCCCCTTTGGAGGAGGGCAGAGTCGGAAGGGCCTTGTGGCGTGGCGCTCCTGGCGAGCCAGAATCAGGGATGGACAGACCTACATTTACACGTCGATTAGCGAGATGGCCGTCTCGGTTCGCGAGAGGGCGTCGCGGCCGTCATTTTTGCGGGTCCAGGTCCGTCGGTTTCGGTCCCAGGCCGTTTGCACGAACGGGCGGTGTACTAAAAGGAGGTTTGTCCACCGCCGACAGAGAAGGCCCGCGCTGCTGGCGAGCCAGAAGGCCCGCCGCGGGCCCCGGGCCTCCCTCGCTCGGGGGGGGCGCGAGCACTTCGGCCGCCCGCGACCGCCCGGGGGCGCGGGGGCCTCGGGGGCGCCTCGCGACCGCGCGGAGGGCCCACGACCGCGCGGATAGCTCACCACCGCGCGGGGGCCTCGCGGTCGAGTCGCCGCGCGCTTCCGCCCCCGCGCTCGGGCGGGCGCCCAGGGCGGGGGGGGGGGCGGGCGCCAGGAAAACTGGTCATTCCCCCAAGTTCGACTTGCCTGATATTCTGCCCGGAAGGCCAAAAACGCATGGATTTTGTCATAAAAATGAACGTGTCTTGGGTTCGATGCGTCGTGGGGGCCCAGCGAAACTTTCGCAGGGAGCGAGTGGGCCCGAAACACACCTACCGCTGCACTTGCGGTGGCGGATAGTAAGAGGAAGGCGAGGAAAAGCACGAAGACACAGAACAACAAACAAACAAACAAAACAAGACAAAGGTGAGTACATCTGTATGAGAACGGCAGCGAAAGGCAGCGGATTTCCTCTCCTACTTATCTTCCTCCCCTTCCCCTCCCCCTCGCGGCGCGCCGTGGGCCATGGAAAGGGATGGGTGGGAGGGGTGGGATACCCACGTCCCCACCCACCCCCACCTTTCTTTCAGGGAAGGACAAACCACCCAGACCTGACAATTGGCGCTTACTCAACGGCCCTGGGCGCTTACTTCACAGCCCTGCCCTGTTCGATTCCTTCCTTGGGTGCGCTTACGAAACGGCATCTCGCGTGTCGGGGTGATTATTCTGAGGGTGGATGTTCTGCTCTTTGTTCTCCTTCCCCCCAGCCCCCCCCCAGAGGAGGAGGAGGAGGAGGAGGAGGAGGAGGAGGAGGAGGAGGAGGAGGAGGAGGAGGAGGAGCACGAGGAGCACGAGGAGGAGGAGCACGAGGAAGAGGAGGAGGAGGAGGAGGAGGAGGAGGAGGCGGAGGAGGAGGAGGAGCCCCCCCCCCCGCAGGAGAAGCGATGGAGCACCAGCGACGGCCGCTCGGGCGAGATCCCCCGGTGGGACAGCCTCTGAGAGCCCCGCCCGGCCC